GTTGTGCAGCATTGGCAACCCGGCTGTGACTCTGAAGGTGGGTTTCTGCTTTGCACCACGTTCTGGTGGGTGTAGGAGGTGCCAGGGCCCCGTAACCTAACCCTGAGAGCACTGGCCGGGGAGCCGTTTGCAGACCTCTGTCGGCCTAGAGGAGGCTGACGCCTGGCCCCAGACTCTGTCCTAGTCTGGCCCGAGACAGGAGCGCTCCCTCCAAGCTAGGGGTGGCCGGTCTCCACCCCTGCCCTGTCCTGGTCAGGGGTCTCTTGGGGGAAGACTGGTAGCTTCTGAGGGTCTGGGGCTCTCTGAGTCCCCATTGTAGCTCAATGCCCCTCACAAAGCTGGCCAAGAGTGGCCTTTGTAGAGATCACTGAATGACCAGATGGACAGATGGCTGAGGAAACAGCCAGAACGGAACAGAGCGAGCTGTTGGTTGGCTGGCGAGGGCACCCTAAAGATGCCAGGAAGTCCCAGAATGAATGGAAGTGGGGACCAAGGCCGAGCTGAGAGAGGTGGTCTGGGGGATTCTGTGGATTCTGGGGCTCAGAACTCGCCAGACACAGGCACGGAGCCCACGCCTCGGTGTGGACTTGGTTCTGACCCGCAGGTGGGTGGCGGCTGGGCTGTCAGCCCCTCCCACCCAGGTGACGTCAAGGCAGATGGTCAAGTCCAGTTTATCACGGACCCAAACCCGAGACGGCAAATGTTCAGGGGGGCGGGATGTTCGAAAAACACCCCTAGGCGCTACAGCTTCTGGCCCTCTGCCGGTAGGTGGCGTGGAGAAAGGGGCCCCGGAGGCCTGCAGACCTGAGATCCGCTGCTCTCAGGACAGGACGTGTCCACAGCCCTGGGGGCCCGTGGCGCGACCTGCCCTCTTGCGTCCAGGGACACGCGCTCGGGCGGGCAGGGCCCCTCGTATGCCGCAGGATTGCGGGGCTGGGAGGCTGCTGCGTGGTTTGCGCTAGAAACAAAAGGCGTGGTTCTGCTTTGCTTGTGGACGTCTGAGGGCCTTCACCGGGGCCAGCACCACCAGAGGGCCTGCCGGGCGTGGGAACCAGGGTGGCTGGCCAGTCAGAAGCAGGGAGCTTCTGATTCTGCAGACCAGGGCGGGCCTGGAGAGTGCCCCGCTGCCGAGTCTCCAGGGACGCTGTCTAGGGACCCCCACCCCGGCCCGCCCCCACGGCAGATGTGTGTGCTGGCGCTCACACCCCAACACACACAGAGCTGGGCCAGGGGTTCTTCAGGCTGCTTCTCCTGCCGACAGCAGAAACACAGAGAACGGGGGACAGAGATGACGGGACCGCACCAGGCATCAGTCAGCAGCCGCCAGCCGGGAACTCACCTCCACACCTCTTCTCTTCAACACTACTGGATCTCGCCACAGATACTTCTGGGAAAAGAAAACCCAACCACCATGTGGAAAGGTCTGGAGCCGGAGATCGCACCCACCGCCCACTTACAAAGGAGCTAACGACTCTGGATGGAGTCAAAGCTCCCAAAAGTGCCAGCCGTTGCTTTAAAAGTTGCCTTTGCTACAGTTTGTTCTAACCAACATGACCAGAAGTGGAGCAAGGTCAAGTTGGTTGGGAAAAGGAAACATTCACCCATCACAGAAAGAGAACGTCATGGGTCCGCACTAGCTTCAAGGTCAGACCAAGATCGTGCGGATCTTTTGGGACAAGATGACCTGATGCTCTGCCCCTGGTCTCCCAGGAGCCCTCACTGGGTCCTCCTGCCTCGGCCCTCTCCTCTCCCAGCACCCCTGGCCGCCGCGCAGGGCCAGCCTCCAGCGGTCAGAGCTCAGGGCCGAGGCGCGAGGCCCTCATCAGCGACGCCCGCCCACCAGGCTGCTGGACCCGCGAGGTGAGGGGGGGGGGGTTCGCCAGGAGTCTGAACCGCCTGGGGCAAAACACTGCTTTCCGAGTCCAGATACATGATGCTCTTCCGCAGTAATTTTTCAGTGGCTGACAAGAATCACAAATGTGTCCAGCATGCACAGGCAAGAGCAACCTGCACCCCACCAGGTGGGGGCACCCTCAGCCCCGTGAGTCTCCCCTCCAGGCGCTGCTGTCCTGGCCAGACAGGTGCCCTGGTGACCTGGTCAGCGCAAGGCTGCTGCTTTGGTCTGGTGGCTCGCGGTACCTGAGCACCGTGCCCCTGGGAGCACTTGACGGGCACAGGCTGGCACCGATCCCTCACCCATGAACAGGGGGAAGCCCGCGCGGGCAGCCCGCTCTGCTGCAGGTGAGGGTGAAGACGTCACCGTCCCTCAGGGACGTGGCACACAGAAAGGCCCGGGCACCTGGCAGTCTAAGGACCAGTGGCCGGTCACTGCCGGGCACCTGAGTCAGTGGGTGGCCTGGAGAAGCCACCGTGCTTCACTCGGAAGGGCGGAGGGCAGCTGAGTTTCAGCCCTGCGACCAGCCCCACAGAACCGCCCTGAGAGCGTAAGCGGTGAGAGAACCAGCTTCGTTTCGGCAAACGACCTCAGAGCACAGCGAGCCCGGCCGCGAGCCCGGCCGCGAGCCCCATCCCTCCGACCGGCTGCCTGCTTACCTGGGATGAAATTGGAGTCAAAAACACACGGCCGGCTCTCCGTGGTGTTTCCAGAACACTGGCCCCCCGCGGGGAAGAGGAGGACGCACTGGCGGGCGCGGACCTGCACCCCGGAGGGGTCGCACTCGGACCAGTCGGACCATTCGGACCAGCTCTCTGGGGGGG